TGGCCTAGGGCCCCGCCGCGGCCGGAAGGTCACAGCCGCTTTCGGCCTGCAGCTCGGCCATCGCTCCGGGAAGGGGCTGCGCCCACCAGTCTTCCTAGGGTGGGCGGGGCCGGAAGCGCGGGACTCTGCCTCCCTCCTTTCTCCCCGGTGCTTCGCTCAGCAGAGCCCACAACTGACCCGAGGCCGCTTTCGGCTAACCCTTGCCTTAGAAAAGTGGCGATTCCGCCGGCGTTTCTCTGAGAGGGAGGGCCAAGGAATGAACCAGTCTTCTGTCTGCCCACTGCCACCGGACCAGAGGTCCGCGGTCTGCCCGCCAGACCAGGACCCACGTTGAGCGGCGACTCCCGCGTTGACCGAGGACAAGTGGCGCTGGGTGGGCCATACAAGCTGGCGCGGGCCGGGAGGAAAGCCGTCCAGCGACATGCTGAGGACAGCGCCGGGTGCTGAGTCCGCCCAAGAGTGAGACACCCAAGCCGTGGGCTGAGGGACTAAGTGGTGCGCCAGATCGGGAACGGTAGGAGAACCCCAAGGTTCTCTCTGTCTGCACACTTTGTGCAAGAGGTGCCTGCAAAGCTACATTCCTGCCCACCGCTTAACCTTGTCTTGCCCAGAGTGCCTCCAGACTTCCATCCTGCTGGAGAAAGGGTTGGCTGTGCTCCAGAACAACTCTCACTGTGCTAATTGAGAGGTTGTTAGACTTACTAGAAATGAGGCTATGGTCCCATCTGGGTGTGTCACTATTCTTCACCAAAAAAGTAGTTGACTTTGCAAATAAAATTGAGCAACTATCAAAATGTCTTGACTCTTTGGCATGAGTCACACAGAAACATGAAGAGTATAGTGTCCTGGCATTCCCTCTTCAATGCGATTGATAGAATTCGAGCTAGCAACAGGGCTTAAGCGTTACCTGGAGAACACCATCAAGTTCTGAGCAATTCGCAAATCTTGCTTTGAAGATTTTCCAGAAGATAGCCAGGAGTCCCAAATATTTTCAGGCTCAGATATAACACAGCTGGAAAAAGAAGTTAATATATCTAAATGGTATTATCAAGAACTTCTTAAATCTGCAGAAAGAATGAAGATAAATAAGTTTATAAGCTGTACATCTCAGAAGTTAGAAACACTAGACTTCAGTTAAAAAGAAAAAAACTGTGAAGATCAGTTGATTAGATAGATCTGAACTCCCCTGGAAAGAGATGTTTCATTTGAAAGAGTGTTCAAAAATCACAGACAAGGAGAAATGAAAGAGCATGTTTTTTAAAAGCCAAAAAGTTACATTGAGAAATGGAGAGGAAACTCTTTCTCTAAGCAAAAGATTCCTAGTGAGACATTATTGACCAAGAAGGAACAATTATCTGGAGCACTTCAAATCATAGCTTTTAAAAAAATTAAACATGGAGACAAATTGACAGATGAATAAGAAATTTAAAAATGAAAACTCTTTGAAGTTAGAATTTATTATTTAGTGAATCTCTGAAATAACTAAAAGAACCAGAAACCTCTGGAGATCTAAACACTGTATAGGAAAACAACCACTCCCCCACAAACGGCAGAGCATCAATAGGAGTACAAAGAGAAGCACCAAGGGTTATGTGATCTCACCCAAACTAAAAAAATCACCTCATTGGGCACCAAGCAGCTGATGTTTATAAACATGTTGGAACCACTGAAGAGAATCTGAACCACCAATACCAGAAGATTAAGGCTCAATATGAGAAGATAATTTCTTTGCTTGAGAAGCAGGACCACTATCTCCTGAGAAACGAGAAAAACTGCAAAAAAGCGTGAAGGAGCTGAAAGTATATTATGATACTGCATTGGCCAAGTTGGAGAAAAAAAATGAAGTTGTCATACTCTCTGCAGGGAAAAATTAGAAAATTGATGTCACCATCAATTATGATGTGTTTGAGCACTGGCTACAGCAATCAGAACAATAACTTGAAAACCTGAGGGGATATATGGATGATTCAGTGGTTTATTGACCACGCTGAACAGGCAAGAGAGTTTCTTAGATCTTATTTCTCACAAAGGTGATTTGAGGTATGTCACAATGTCTGGAAATAGTATTAAAAGTGGTGCGATCTTGTAGTAAGAGAGATGGCAGAAAGACTGATACGTATAATGTTGACACTTCTGCAACCCATGGGGAGTCCAGAGCAAGCTACATCATGCTACAAGTTGGTCTAGATATCTACTCTAAGTGTAATATTCCTGAAATTAATCTTAAAAGTCTGCCAACACAGGCAGCTACAAACCAAAATCATTGTAAGACATTCCTCATTTAATGACTGAGTTATGTTCTTGTTGAATGAATTGGCTGTTAAATGAGGAACTGTATATAGTATGTACATTACAGTAATCAGAACAAATGAATGGTCAAAGGAAACTATAATTTGATGATTTTGCTTTTATTTGCATAACCTCCAGGCAGTAATGTGTAACAACATAAAACTACAGTACTGTAGTATACAGTATTACCAGCAAAAATTACTGTACTGTGCTGTAGAAAAAGCCACCATAATTCTGCACTGCTGCTTATGTTCCTGCATTGTAAGTTTGAATGTGGGTTGTAAATCGGAGCGGCAGGTGGTAAGTCAGAACTATGCACCATGATCATAAGTCTGAACAGTAGTTAAACAGGCAGGATGTTAAATGAGGGATATCTGTTTTGGGCTTATTATCTTGAGATGAGAAGCTCAACCACCTGATGCAAAAGAATGCCAAAGTGAACCACCTTCTCGAGGTTTCTCTGCTGCAGCTTGCCAGCATGCAGCTCCTAGATATGGATGGGGGATTCATGCACTCAGACAGTGTCACCTCCTGCCATGACATGTTTAATTTCTTGCATCTCACAGGAGAGGGACACGAAAGTCTACAAACCCCTCCATGGACTGATCATGCAATTACTGGAGGAAACACCAAAGGAAAAACAAACTACCATTACCTGACTGAACCCAATCAGTAAAAATAATATCCCAGCTTCCTCTGATCAGTTGTATCACTGGCACTACAGAATCCTTTTTCTTAAGGCACTTTGCATGATAGAGTGTTTCTGGATGCTCATATCTGGTGTTTGAAAGGAAGGAGGACAGGTCCTGACACCTAAATATGAATCATCACATGAACCCTCAGGAGCCCAGCCAGCTGGAACTGAACACTGTAAATGCTCAGACCGACAGGGCCTTCCAATAGCTGGAACAAAAGTTTGGGTGGATGCATCAACGCTTCCTAAAGCAAAGAAACTACAACGTTCAGTATATCCCAGGCTTCTGGATGACTGCCTTTAGAAACCACCTCAGCTGTCCACCATGAATGGGGCAAGATACAAACTTGTCAAGGTACATAACTAACTTGTTAAGGTACATAATATAGAGCAACTCAGGCTTCGTAAAACTGGCTGCAAGTTCAAGTTTAAAGGAACCCCTACTTCAGAAACAAGCTGATCGTCAAAAAATATGAGGTCAGATCCTCCAGCTAAGTAGTGTCTCTTTCTATTCCAATCATAAGGCACAGGCTTTTGTTATTTGCAAAAGCCAAGACCTCATCTGCAACTTTTTCACCTGGTTTTCAGACCACAGGTATCCAGAGTCTGACAGAATTACTGAGATTATCAAAGAGGATTTGTGGCTAAAACTGCTGCCATACACCTGTTTTGTGAAGGAGTCCCAAGAGCCAGATGTTGACCAACGCGGGACCCAGTCTAGTTAACCTTTGCCCTCCAGAATCTACTGCACAAAGTCCCCTACCACCTCCTGCTAGACATATTGTTGGGCAAGAGTAATGGATATGCTTTTTGCTTTTTTTTTGGGGGGGGGATCTGCCACTTGGTCTCCTCTCTGAATGTTTAGTTCTTTCAACATCAAGCTTGAGAGTGTTACAGACATCTTATTCATTTCCACATGGCCTTCATGTTCTTCTGTTTTAGTATCCCATAATGAATTATTTCAGTTGAAAACTTTCTATCAGTAAAAAGCCTGGGTAGGGCTGGTGTTAAGCTCAGTGGCACTGTGCCTGCCTCACAAGCTCAAGGTCCTGAGTTGATCTCCGGTTCAAAAAAAAAAAAAGCTCACAGTTGTCCACTGCTAGCCAAATTCTGAGATTAACACTGCCCCTGTCCCTGCCACTTCTTCTCTGGTTAGGAGAGTCACTAAAAGGAAAATGGTGACAGTTCTGGTGAAGTGATGACCAGCAAACCATGAGTGTGCCTTGGAGACTGACTGATCATAGTTGATCTCAGCGGGCAGTGCCAGTTGAGTTTGGTGCTCAAGGCAATGTTACTGATTCTGGCACAAAAGAACAGTCTCATGCCAGCAGCATTAAACTGCTAAGTTTGAAAAGGCTTGGGATTTGACCACTGTATTTGTTAAATTCCTACAATCTGAGAATACAAGAAAGGAGATTAAAAATAGGATACTATTCTTTATTTGTTTTTTGGTACCGAGGATCAAACTCGAGACCTTGTACTTGCCAGGCAAGGCATGTGCCACTGAGCTAAATCCCCACCTCCAAAATATGATATTATTCTGCTAGTCTTGTGAATAGACATGGATTATAAGGCTTTTTTCCCTTTTGCCCTTATAAAAGATTAAAATTAAATATAAAAATTTCCTTGTTCATAACAGTGTTATGGCCTTGTACAAAAGATGAACTGACAAGATGCTTGGTAGAGCATCTTGACTTGTGTAGAACTCCCTGTAAGGCTGGCCTGGCCTCAGGGACGTTCTCTTTCTGAAGCACCTATCCAGATGGTACAGATGTATGCAGCCTTTAGGCACTTGGCCAGCTCCTGGCATCTGCAAACTCTTTACCCTTGATCATACATAATTGGGACACTGCCACTTTTGTCTCAACTGCTGTGTAAGGGGCCTCATTGGTAAGAGGACTTTAAAGTCTCATCTATGGAAGGGATGCTCTGCCTAGACCCTTCCCAGTCGAAATCCTGAAAGCTGTAGATAGGACTTCTCAGTACTAGATTTCAGGATCAGCCCTCTTCCAATATGGTGATATAGTTTTATACTTTCTCTTTCTTCTGTGTGATTATGTCTATCAACAGTTTATTAAACTTTTTTTTATTGTCTTTACCTTGGTGTTAAAGGCTTTCATTGTTTAGAAATCCAGACCTCTAAATTAAGCAGCTATGACTATAATCTCTTTAAAGCTACATCTTATAAATAGGAGTTAAAGCTTTTGCTTAAAAAAATATATATGGGATTTGGTTTAGATCCTCTCAATATTCAGGTAACCTCTGCTGTTCTAAACAAACTACCATAGTGAGTGTAAAGGGCACTGTTTCCTAGAGAGGTAGGAAAGCCCTATGAGGGCTTCATCCTGATCTACTGTTTTTCAAGTGGCTAAGGGAGCCTCACCAACTCCACCCTTCTCCCTAAGGATTTAGTGGGTCATGGTATGGAGAATCCCAAGGCTGAGAGGGCCCCCAGGGGGGCTCTAGTCATCCAGGAAGGCACTCATGCTGATCACTACAGTTTTGAGCAGAGACATCACCTAGTAAGTACTTTGGGTATCACAAGGGATGCCTTGTGTACCCAATGGGTCTTGTCCTTCTTCAGAAGACATTCTCTGAAGGACCCTAGACCTAATTTTCTCTCTCCATAGGCTTGAGACACATCATGGGGAATATCCTGAAAAGCACCTCGCAGATCCCAGCAATCTCGCCATTGGGCTGTATCCTTCAACATTGGGAAAGATTTGATCCTGCCAATCTGAAGAAGAAACAACTCATCTACTATTGCAATACGGCTTGGGTCCATTACCAACTAGAAAATGGCAAGATGTGGGTACAGAATGGCAGTTTAGATTATAATACTATTTTACAGTTAGATCGATTCTGCAAAAAGCATGGAAAGTGGGCTGAAGTCCCTTATGTTCAGGCTTTTGTGTCTCTGTATGTTTTATGTCTCTCCACCTCCCCCAGTTCTTCCACCCTTGCCACTTCCTGTCATAACTCAATGGAATTACTTCCCTCAGAGTTGCCCCCTCACCTCCCCATTGAGGAGGGCTCTCTGGCAGGGACAGTTTATCCTCTCTCAGGATGCCCTTGGTTCCATGGGATGCTGTCTAGACTCAAGGCCACTCAGTTAGTGCTAGAAGGAGGCACCAGCTCTCATGGTGTCTTCCTGGTTCGTAATAGTGAGACGAGGGAGGGAGAATATGTCCTCACTTTTAACTTTGAGGGCAGGGCCAAGCACCTGTGCTTGTCACTGAATGAAAATGGTGAGTGCTGGGTCCAGCACCTGTGGTTCTTGTCCATTTTTGATATGCTCAATCATTTCCGAGTACACCCCATCCCTCTGGATCCTAAAGGCTCCAGTGGTGTTGTCCTTGTCCGCTATGTACCCACCAAGCAACAACAGGGGTGGGAACAGGCCAGGAGCCATGCAGAAGTATGTGATGGAGATCAGTGTTACCCCAATTTGTCTTCCACCTTCATGCCTATACAGCAGTCCAGAAGAGGGGGCCTTGCTAGCTCAACTTCTAGAGGTAGTTTATGTTCCCAGGGAGGTCACTGTCATATATTGTAAGGAAAGACTAATAGGGAGGCAAGTAGGACAGCCTTATAGCCCCTCAGGACCATAGCCTTATTCCCAGTTCCTGAAGAACCAGTCTGATCTTCCTTCAAGGAGTATAGTGATAAGCTATAAAAATCTTATGTGGGAAAATGATCATTGAAATTTTCACAGGACTAAGGCTCCTGTGAACCTCTGGAAGATCTGAGCTCCTCTTCAAAAAGCAAGATCCCAGTTTGATTTCAATTACAGATAAGTAGAATCCTATCTAACATCCATCTTTGCCTCCACAGGCTCCTGACAGGTCCACCAAACCCTCTTCTGTTACCTTATATAAATACTGGTGTGTGCCTTGCTATCCTAAGGTATTCAGCACATAATCCCCAGTAGGTAGGGCCTACAGTCCCTTTCAGCAGGAAGTAGCTACCTGAAGACTGAGACCTCCACTCCCTCAACAACCCATAAAGAATTATGGGGATTTATGTCTCCAGGGAGAAATGAGGCAGGAACTCAGGGCATGGCAAGGTGGCTGGAAGATAGGATGTAAACTGTCAATTACAAAGATCTGGAACAAAAGATAAACAACAGAATGTGACCTGTCAACCACAGCTAGGATATGTGGGCAGAGCAACCTCCAGTAGATCAGATCTGAATGCATTTAAAAGATGGTGGCCACTGACTTCCCCACCTGTGATTTTGCTGTTTTGTGGTCCTCCTGTTTCTGTAGCAGCCCATTTTGCTTATGGAATATATCTCTTATTGCTCTTCTCTTTTCTTCACTCTTTTCACTTCTTCCTTTTTTCTCCACTCATTTCTTCCTTTTTCCCTTCTCTTTTCTTCTCTTACTTTAAATAAAAATTACATTTACCTGTTCACCAGTTGTCCCGTTCAATTCTCTAGGCAGTGCAGAAAGTCCCCTTGAATCACTGGACACAATTCCATCAGGCAGCAGTACCAATTCTTCCCTTGATCTATGCAGCCCAGGGTGGTCTTGAACACACAGTGATCCTCCTGCCTTAGCCTCCTAAGTGCTGGGATTATAGGCATCTGTCACCATGCTAGGCTCCTCCAATGGCTTTGTTGTTGTTGTTGTTGTTTCGGTACTGGAGATTGAACTTGGGACCTTGTGCTTGCAAGGCAGGTAGCAGAACCACTGAGCTAAATCACCAGCCCATGTTGTTGCTGTGTTTTGAGACAGGTTCTCATTATGTAGCTCAGGCTGGCCTTGGACACATTATATAGCCCAGGCAGGCCTCGAACTCACAGTGATCCTTTGCTCTCAGCCTCCCAAGTACTGGGATTACAGGCCTGTACCATCACCCCAGTTCCAGTGTCTTATATTATTTTCCGGGAGATGAAGTGTATTCTTCACTGGTTTGCCAAGTGGTCAGGTCTCCACTGTGAACCTTTTCTACAGGACTTTGTAGCTAAGGCAGTGCCAGGAAAATTACAGCCACTGCTGGATAATCTGGAGTAGCCTAGTATATCTGGGGCAAATTGATCAATTTGTATCTTTGAGTGGGACCGGTGGTTTCAAGGTTGGGCTGAGCAGGGGCATATTGAATTCGTCAAGCAGTTGAAGATCAGTGACCCAGACTTCTTTGTGGCAATTTACCAAGCTGCCTCAGTTAGTAAAGACTGAAAAGGCATTCAGATCCAAGAGGAGAACCACAGCTAATAGAGCCAAGGCCATGACTCTACAGGGAGAACTCAATTCATATGTGTCACATATTTTGGGTGTAGAATCCCAGCGAGCTGACTGAAGTTGCTGATGAGCACAGACATAGCTATTTCAACTTTAATAGCATGTCAACTAGACTCCTTGTATAAATGTTGTCCATCTGAGCAAATCTAGATCATGTCAGTGTCCTAATTTGGTATTCACGAGATATCAAAACTTCAAGAATTTAATGACTTCTTTTCCTACTATAACAAAAAAGAAACAACATATTATAACTCATGCCTATTGCTGGGCCATGAAAGGTGTAAAATAAAGGTATAAAACAGAAACAGGAAAACACACACACACAATGAAAGCCATTTTTATGTAGCTAGATTCTGGTATAATTTTGTGACGATCCCAACTCACAATAATTTCATGAATTTAGGGAAAATCCGGATAGGGAGATAGTTATTCCCTTCTTCACCCTGAATCCCAACAGCAATGAAAATTAATAAAAATTCCAAAAAGTTTGTCCTATTAGTTTCTTTCCATGAGGATTAAAAATCACTGCTTTAGCCACCATTGTATCCACTACACCGCATATGTTACCAGACATGGGTTCTCTATACTCATTTACTGAATGAAAATCAGGCTGCAAAATATATAGTATGGGTGAAAGAACATGTGGCCATTATCAGGCACAGAAATGGTCTACCTCCTGCGGGTATTGGAGGCCAGTTTCTTCTCTGAAGGAAGGGGAAGGTGCATCTGGCACCAGTGGATGAGCAGAGCTAGGTGGGGCAGGTTAGCTCTGGGGCTTGTGCCCCTTAAGCTCCCTGCATGGGAAGGGATGGGGAGCATTGTGTATCTTCTGTTGATCACCCAAGGCACAGGGGTGGGAGCAGGATGGGGGCTGCCTGAAAGGATGAGCTGGGGCATTAGGCTCAGCATTTTAAAGATAGGCCATGACATAGTAAAAATTCCCTCTGGCTGGGAGAGGTGTTCACACTACCACCCTGGAAAAGGAACTTCCCAATTTGAACAACTGTCAGGGTGAATCCCACAGGACAAAGTGGGAAATGCAAGGGCAGGATTCCTTCCCTGGACAGCCTGTCTGGGCAGGTCTCACACTGTAACACCATGGCTGGACCTCTGGGCCCCCAGGACTGTGCTCTCTGGGTGGAATGCTGTACTCACCATTTCTGCACTTTAGCTGTGTGGCAACTGGACAAGGGTGGAGGGCAGCTAGGCTGTCAGCCCTCCCAGACCTTTGTCCTCTATGAGACACTGTTGTGCCTTCTTGGTTCCAGAGGTAGACTTTTGTGCTCTAAATCACCAGATCCAGCCCAAAAGATTCCAGGCTAGTCTTTTTTCCTTCTTTCTGGGCCCTACTCTGGTTGCTCCAATCCAGACGTCACGTCACTGGAAAGTCCCATCATGCTCACCACGCACACATCTCCCTGGTTACCCGTACAGACCTGGCTAGGAAAGGCTCTGAACACAGCAATTCCCCAGGTGCTCCAGGAACCTAGTGGAGTGGCCAGTCTCAGGCAGAGAGTTGGTCTACCTCCTGCAGGTATTTGTAGGCCAGGTCCAATAAATATGCATCCCAGGAGCAAAAATACAAACACACATTCTGAAGGAATGAATTTATCCATTTATTCAATTTCCCACGTACGAATCTTTTGAAGAGTATTACAGAGGCCCTCAAGGGTAGGAGGGCTCACACAGGGGTGTGCATAGCCCTAGAAGCAAATTTAAAGTCTAGGTTTTAGAGTAGGGAAAGGGAAGCCAGTGAAGATTTTGGAGAGGACATAATTGTCCTTAATCTGTGCAAATCTTAAGGATGAAATAGCAGATGGGGAATCAGTCTGGAGGTGATGCAGAAGTGACGGATATGGGGTGGCTGTGATGATGTAACGTTGAATGGATGTAGGTTCTGAGGCAGGAAAGGTGGTGGTACCTTCTAAGTTGAGACTAGGTTGGAGGAAGGAAAAAGCTCACACCTCCAGTATGGAGGGAGAGGAAGAAGAGACGAGTATCTGAGGGAACAGATATTCTGCTGTGGCTTCATTCTTGGGCTATGTGACCAAGGCAGATGAGCATTACTCCCTATTTGCTGCTTATTTGGGAAAGGGGAGTACACTATCTTCCAAAGTTTAAAAATTTCAAGCCATGGTGGAAGCCGGAAAAGAAAAAGAATATAGGTGGAATTGAGAAAGGAAGTAAATTCCCTTCAAGCGGCTCAGGCCTGGCAGCTTGTGCTGGGCTTGTGGAAGATTCCCTCTGGCAGAGACTAAATACCCCAGGAAGCAAGGCCCAGCATGAGTAGGGCTTGTGGGTCCATGGATCTGAACCACCACCCGTACGTACCCCAGCCACAAACAGGAGCAGGGCACACTGCAAATTTCCCAGACGTGTCAGCTCTGGTGAGGAGCACAAACCCGAACCGGGCAGGGAAAGTGTGGTGTATTCGCCTGGACAAGGGCGGCGGGGCCTGTACAGGGACTGCCTCACTCTTCCCAGGGGCTCATGTCAGTGTCGATGGCCACACAGTTGTAAGCGGCATAGCGGAGTTTCTCTTCGCATACCTTGGCGCTGCAGGGGAAGGGCTAGGTCAGGCCCTTCTACCATCCTGAGGGTGAGGGATTCCAGCATGTCTACTTCACTGCCGGAAGTCCTCTCACACCAAGAATGCCACCCCTAGGTTTGAGCCTAGGAAAACCCACCTGACATAGTGGGGTAGGAAGAGGGTGCTGGAGCAGGTGGAAGACTCAGGCAGTGCATCTGTGGTCTCGTAGCTGGAGGCACCAAAGGGCCACAGATTAGCAAGATTTCTAGGGCATATTTGTGTGGGGTGCCTTAGGTCCTTCCCTCTGCACATATACTCACCCCAGCTTGTCTGGGTAGATGTAGATCCGAGCTGGTAGACGGCTGCGGCCTGTGACAAAACGCAGGAAGCGGCTGCGGTCCTCTGGGTGGAGGAGAAGGAAATTAGCACCTGCTGATGGCACAGGAGGGTCTACCACTTCTGCGCGTCCGTTGTAACCCACAGGCAGAGTGTGAATGCAAGCATCGCTCTGCTCTCCTCTACTGACCATTGGTGAAATTGTTCAGGGCCTCCCAGAAATACTGCACCCGTGTGTCAGAAGGCTCGAAGTCCTCAAACCGGGCTGAAGGAGTTAAGGCCAGAATTTGCTTTTGAGTCTTACTCAGCCCAGTCTTTAAGCCCCATCCCTTGTACTTCACAACCCCACAGTCTGGAACTCACTGAGTTTGCGCAGAGCATCCACAGTGACCTCTGGGTCCCCACACACCTTCTTCTCCAACTCTTGCCAGGTCAGCAAATCTAGCACAGCCTGTGGTACTACCTTCAGCAGACCTGCCTGCATGGCTGCCACCTAGGGAGGGGGGAAAAGGACCAGCTGGGAGACGGCACAGCTTTTAGCTCACACGGGGACATCTCTGGTAGGAATGTGGGGCAGTTACGGGGGTGGGGAGGTAGAAGTTCTTAGGTAGGCTGCACTCTGGCTACTACCTGCTCCTTGCTCTCTTCTAGCCGAGCCTTCTGTACTAGCTGGATGAAACGAGAACGGTCTTCATATCCCACTGTGATGCCTGTGCCCCCAGGAATCAGCTCCACCACCTGCTGATCACTGAGCACAGTGGTGAACGTCAGCTCCTTCCCGAACTTGAACTCAAATGTCTCCTTGTCCATGCCTTCCATCACTTCCAGGAGCTTCACCTGGGGATGAGTCAGAGGCAAGGAGGTCAGCTTTTCACTGGGGAGATGGTCTCTGTCTTTCCTCAAGATGCTCACAAGGAGGCAGAGAGGCTGCCAGACAAGGCAGTTCTCAGGCAGGCAATGGGGCGTGAGGGGCAAGTACTGGGCTGTGGAAGCATCAAGACCACAGCTAACCAGCCTCGGAGACCAGAGAAGGCATCCTACAGGAAATGGCACCTGAGTTGAGACCCAAATGATGGCCGAGAGTTGCATGGGACATAAGGAAAGTTAGGAAAGAGAGTGTCTTGGAGAAAGATTAAATAGCAAAAGGCTTAAGGACTATCTTCAGGTGGAACCTGATTGTGTACCAAATAGAAATGGACATGGCAGGCATGTAAACAGAGGAGTCTTTACAGGGTCTGCATTATCCTAAGTTCAGGGCAAAGCCATCAAAGGGTTTAAATGAGGAGAAGCACAGAGATCAGATGGGCAAGAATGGAGACAGGGATACTAGCTTTGGCAGTAAGTGGTTAGGACAGAAAGGTGGCTTGAAACAAGTGAACAGTAATAAGACAGGAGAAATAGATTCTTGACAGAATGTGGGGAGTGAGGGAGGAGGAGGAATGCAGGGTGACCTTGAGGGCTTTGGTGTGGTGAGGGCTGGGTAGAGGTGCAGTTCTAAGCAGGGAGCCCTCAAGTGGACTGGGGAGAAGATGAAGAGTGTGTTGAACTTGAGGCAGATTCATATATAGCCCCATGCTCAAGAGAAAGGCTGGGGCTGGTAGTCAGGAGTTTAAGGGTTAACAGAACAGAGCTGGCAGTGAAACCATGAGAGTAGACAGGATCGAAGGGGGGGCACGAGTGTGGCGAAAGAAGGCAGGGAAATCCTGGGGAGTCACCTTTGGTGGCTGCAGGAAACACTGAGTCCAGTCTTACTCACCAGCACAGAGTCCACAGCTGGGAAGTCCTTGCTCCAGCTCACCTCCTCACCGGAGAGCTGCTTCCACACAAAACCAGGCAGAGCTAGGACCTGTGGGATGAACACTCACCACTGCCTTCTCATCCCAAGCTGCCCAGATTTGCTGGCCCTTCCTTCCAGGGGCCAGGGATGACCTGACAGGGGTGAAGATCAGGCTACTCACCAGGAACTCTTTACCCCGCAGGGCAGCCCCCATCAGCTGTCCGATCCACTCATACTTGGCAAAGTCTCGGCAGGAGGGGTTGGGCACATACATGTCGCGGGCCTCACCAGTGCCATTGCCCTGCCCAAGGACAGAGCTGTCAATACAGCATAGGATAGATTCTACTTTCTTGTGCTAAGCACCCCAATGACTTTCCCCAAAATCTTCCACTAGAGCCCCTGCAGGACCCACAGAAAGTACCAAGGCTCCTTTTCTTGTCTGCCCAGATGCTGCCCTAGGTGACTCACTCCTTCTCCTGTCCCCTCCCTAGCTTAGTGTGGCACCTGGAAGGTTTTCAGAGACAGAATAGCAGAAATTTGTCAGAGGTAGGGGTAAGAGATGGGAGATTACCTGGTTGGCTGTGCGTACAAAGAAGGGCAGAGGCACAGGTGTGTCCGCTGAGCCGGGGCATAGCTCTTCTGACATATCTGCCAGGCTATCCCGGAAACCACCCCCTGAAACAACAGATGCCCTTAGTTAGGTACAAGAGAGCCCAGCTTCTGTAATGCAGTAATAACCAGGCTAATCTTCACAAGGTGGTGAGCCCAGAAGGGTCTAGTACATTAACAAGAGGAACACGCAAGATCCTTTTTATGCTCCTGCAGGGCCTCACCTTGGTCAATGATGCCTTCTGCAATGAATTTACACTCCCACCACTGGTCATAGCGCATGGGCCACCTGGAAGCAGGGGAAGACCTCTGTCATCAGTCTTTGTCAGGACTCAGGCCAATTCACCAGCCCAGAGATCAGCCAGGAGAAGGGTTGCAAAGTGAAGGTAACAGTGGAGGGTGACAGGAGCAGTGTGTGGGTGAGGTGCCTTGAGCAAGTCCCTTTGTGTCATACCTGTAATCCAGGGGCTTTTCATACTTGTCAGAGGGCTTGAGGCCTTCATAAACCTGGGGACAAAGCGAAAGAGAAATAGGATAAGTGTGTTGGGATCTGGGCCTACTCTTGCCCAAAGACCTCCCTCAGTCCACCAGATGGTCCAGACCTGGGTGAAGACTGCATTCTTGCAGGCAGGGTCCCGAGAGGGGCAGGCACGGTGTTCCATGGCAAGGCGTCGGTTGATGTACAGGCGTGGCATGAAGCTGGGCTTGCTGCTCTCTGAGTCTCGCAGGCACTGGGCCACCAGGCTGGGCCGCTGGCGTGATAGCAGTAGGAACTGCTTCACTTGCTGGTGAGGAGAGAGGCCAGAGCAGGATCAGCAGGCAGTAAGATTCTGTCCAGGTCCTGGAACCTTTCTCAATGCTTAGACCCAATTCCACCATTCCAGTTCAAGCCTAGTCCATTCCCTGTCCTTGCCTTTCCAGCTCCTTCCTCAGTCCAGCCACCAGGGGGACCTTTTAGTTTTTTGTGTGTTTTGTTTTTAAAACAGAGTCACACTGTGTAGTTCAGGCTGGCAGGGTACCCAATATGTAGCCCAGGCTGGCCTTGAACTTGCAGCGATCCTCCTGCCTCAGCCTCCCGAGTACTAGGATTACAGGTACATGCTACCACACTTGGCTTGGGGAGGGGGGAGCTTTCTAAAACAAAAAAGTGACATTGTCATTATTTTACTTATGAACTTTCCAATGGTTCCACTGACTGGGACAAACTCCCTGGATCATAGTCTGGCCCTCAGGACTCTGGCTGTTAAGTCCTGCTTCCTGTCCAATCCCTGTGTCATCTCACATCTCCCTCTATGCTGTCCTCCAGTCACATACAGCTGCTGGTAGGGTCCAGTGTGTCGCCTTTGCTGTGAGTTCCCTCCCATGATGTCACCTCTCCTCCCTCAGCCCTTGTGTGTGCCACATGCTTATCAAAAGAAGAACACCCCAAACACTGCATTTTGATCATTTCTGTCTGGCTTTGTTTCCAGATCCAGAAAAGGTCCAGCCCTAGGGCAGGTTTTCAGAACTGTCTGTGAAGAATGCCAACTCCACGAGCAGGAAGTGGAAGCCCACTGATGAGTACTGGGTTTGCCAGGTTTACCTTAATCTCACTGAAGGTGCCCAGTGTGTGGTCCCATGCAGGTACCAGGTGATGCAGGACACTGTCTAGAATCTTGATGAATCTGGGGTGGTAGGTAAAGACAACTGCAGCTAAAGAGTTTGGCATGGATGTAAGATTCTCACCTTCTCAACACATAGAGACAGAAGGCAGGGCCCAGAGGACAGCTTATACTATAAGACCTTGGGGTCTCATGCATACAAACAGTTAGGCTCAGGGAAGGGAAAGGTCTGCAAGATCAGGAGAACAGCCACCTCTGCAGGAGGACAGCTCTGCGGTACAGTACTTCTGGGTCAGTGCCTTCCAGGCGTGGATACCGCACCAGACTGGCCGGCTGGAAAAGGTCTGCATTCAACCCAAGTTCCCGCTGTCTAGATGACTTGATCTTGACCCCTCGAAGACGAACATCAATCCCATCATCTAGGGGAAAGAGTAAGAGTGAGGTCACTTACTGTAGCAGTTGCCTTCTTGGCCCTCAGACCTGGGAATAGATCCTTAATGCTCAGCCTTGTCATCTGCAGCCCCTAGAAATTGGAGACCTTTGGGATGGTATTCTATTACCTAATTCTGATTATTTACATACTGTTTACTATTTTCTCTGCCCATCTCTGTAATGTTGGGATGCCTGAGGGTCCCAACTCAGTCTCTCCTTTTCCAGGTGAGCCCAACAACCTTTATGGCTTTGAGGCAGGTTTATATGTGGCACCTCCCACCTGGCTCAGGTCCCATAGCTTCAAAGCCTGGAGTTGGTTCAGCTACCATTTTCACCCTAACTCTAAGCCTATTAATTTCTTCTCTCCACACTCACTGTCAGCTTGACCCCAGCTACACCTTCGGGCTCCCTTCCTCTTCTTATGGCCTTAAGCCCCACCTCGGCACTCCACGATGCGGATCTCGATGATTGGGAGGTGGACCGTCATGTCCTCCAAGACACAGACATCCCCGATCAGGGTCCTAAGGAGATGGTGTGAGGCTCTTCAGATACCTCTGCCTTGGGCCTTTGGGGATTGCTGGGATCCCTCTCAAATTTAGGCATCCAAGCTGGGCCAGTCCCCATTGCTAAGATCATGCCCCGCCTCCTACCCCAGGCCAGCTTGCTCACTCGTCAATGCTCACGTCACTCAGCTTCTTCAGGTTGTCCCCTTCGCCCCCATAGACCACCACCCGCTTAGGCATAAAGTTGTCATCTGTGGTATCCACTGTGAGTAGCAGCTTCCTGACGGATCAAAGTGTTCACCTGGGTCTCTATAAACTCACAGGCACATGGCTCACCCACCCTGTCCAGGCCAGAGCCAACTCACTTGACAATGGTGCCCTTTTTCATAGTAAGTCGTACCCAGTGCTGGCACTGGGACCCATCGCTCTCCCAGTAGGTATCTGCATTGCTGTCTGTCAGGCAAGACACATTGAACTCCTCCTAGGGAGGGACAGAGAGGGTCAGCAGTTATCTTTACTTTGGCACTGGGCCTGTGCTGTGGGCTAGGGAATGCAAGAAAGCATAACCGAGTTGGGCTAAAAGGGCAACTGATATGGGGAAGGATGGGGGGTAAGGCAGGAGTGTGACTAAGGGTTCCTATGGGGGGTGAACTGAGACTCTGGCTTGGATCTGGGAGTTCTGGAGCTAGCCTGGAAGGCTGTGACTACATGCGGCCTCCCTCAGGAGAGTCCAGTACCTACCGTGTAGGAGGAAACGTCTATGCTCTCCACGTACTGCTTCACGCTACCCAGGTTCTCATCCTCCTTGCCCAGGTGGTCATACAAGAAGTGAATCAGGTCCTCATCACATTCGTAGGTCCACGTTGGGGGCACATAGCTAAGCAATCCCAACCCCTAATTAGGTCAGGGCTAGACCTGGAGCTCCCTCCTCCCCACCCCATTCCAGCTCACTCACAGTAGCCTTTGTACAGCATCTGTGTATGCTTCGGCTGGCTGAGGCCTAGACCCCAGGCGATGCGAATATGTCAGGTCCACCACCTGTTCCCATCTGTGGATGGAGTGGGAGGTACATGGGGCGGCAGGGCACAGCTCTAGCTTTACGCCTCCGGAAGCCCTACCCCTCTATCTCCCTTCAGGTTCAGGCCCTTCCTGCTCTTAATCCTGAATCCACTCCAAGACACGCCCCACCCCGCGCCTGCTGCGTTCCCGACCCCCCGGGATGGTCTCACAAGCCCCATCCTTTCACGTGCAGGACCTGAGCACAGGCCGGTAGTCCACACCAAAGAGCTGCTGCTGTCGCTGCAGGTGGTCCGGAGTGTCGATGGGCACCAGGCGGGCCCCCCCCTCCGCCGGCCGGCACACCAGCAGCCAACCTTCGTCCAGTCCGCAGTCACCCAGGTGTTCTGCCAGCTGCTCCTGCAAGGGGCGCCGGACGGGGACTGCCGTCAGGGAACTGCCGTCAGGGAACTGCTTAACTGCTCTCCTGGCCAGCCCAGGGCAAAGGGCCCGGAACGCAATGCCAGGCAGAGCGGGGAACTGCTGGGGACTTTCCTGCACCCGACGGGCTTTTGCGGGTTCTCAGTAGGCCAGGGCGCACCTTGGTCAGTTTCACCCAGAGCCCGTAGCCGTTGCACAGCTCCTCGCCCGTGGTGCGCACGGAGGCGCCGCGCCGCAGCTCAATGCTGTCACGGGCGGCGGCAAAGGGCCCGGAACGCAATGCCAGGCAGAGCGGGGAACTGCTGGGGACTTTCCTGCACCCGACGGGCTTTTGCGGGTTCTCAGTAGGCCAGGGCGCACCTTGGTCAGTTTCACCCAGAGCCCGTAGCCGTTGCACAGCTCCTCGCCCGTGGTGCGCACGGAGGCGCCGCGCCGCAGCTCAATGCTGTCACGGGCGGCGGGCGGC